ACCATAACCCATCAATCTATAAAGTTTCTCAAGTGAGATAAACAAATTTTTTCACAAGTGCAATCTTTTCACGAGACCACAAGCATGTACTAATTGCATTCTGCAACTGAGAAGAAAACAAAATGACATATAAATCAGAAAAGCAGTCAAAGGGCAAACAAAGGCCATAAAAAATTTGCAAAAACGACACCAAATCCAGCTCACCTTCATCAGGTTCCCCTGTTGCTGACTCAAACGCACCAGGAGGAAGCGCGTCGAACTCGACCCCAAGCGGCGGGCCATCCTCCCTATAATGCTTCCCGAGCTGCCTCTTAACTGCAGTTATTGCGCCATTTTCGGCCCGGCCCTTGACTTTCAAATAGCCCGCCGGGCCATGCCGGGCTTTCTCATGTTCTGCACCCGTGTGGAATTTTGGCACCTGATATCTCGAGGTCACCGCATCAAGAGGCACCCTTTCTTGGTGGTTAGACATTGAGGAGCTACTTCCGGAAGACAATCTGTCCACATGGTTATAATTCCCAGCATGATGGCTGCCGTGCTCGTACGTCAAGTCAGCATTAGAGAATTCTTTTGCTGTCAACCTTTCACTCTCGACTTCTCTCATGTCCAGATTCAGGTCATCTCCTTGTTTTGTGCTGCCACAAGAATCTTGCCTAAGCCCACTACCTCGATCTTGTATGACCCCACTCGACCTGTCTTGCCTTATTACACCAGTCGCGTGTTTCTCCTCGTTTATTACTTTTTTGTCTTTCAACCTTCTGTGGCAAAACCAACCGGAAACTTGCTTCTCGGTCAAGCCTATAGACTCAGCAACCTGTTGTTTCATTGCTTCCGTGGGGTATTTGTGTTCTAGATGGAAATATAAAAATAAAAGGAAATATAAATGTAGGGGCAAAGTTTTTATAACAAAAGGGGTATATATAAATAAACTGAGGGGTGCGCCAGAGCTAGAGAAGTTATATATCTACCATTGTAGAACTTTTCAAGTGCTTCAACTTGAGCACGTGTCTTGACGATCCTTTTCTTGTTCTTCTCCAGGAGGGCTTTGTCATCCTCAGAATGCATTTCACACGATTCTGAATCATCAAGAAAACAGCAAGGAAACGTAATTGGATTACTAAATGGGGCGTGATAAATTAATTCGTGAAATTATTTCAATCTATTGCTTAGATCCATTAACAAGCCATCTAAAAAACAAGGAGAATGTGAATATCAGAAGCATTGGTTGAGGAGAATTTCATAGTGGAAGCACTTCTGTAAAGCCGGCAAAAAACTCACAGGAATTACTTAACATGGAGACTACTCATCATGGAACTGGTTCCATGATATTTATGTTTGAATATTTTAAACAAACGCTGCCAATATATAGATCTCAATTCAAAACCCCCCCAAAAGATAATAATAATAATTCATCTTTCAAAAGCCATGCAACCCGTTGAGCTCAACAGCAAGAAATTTATTCAGTAACTTCTGAATAATCTTAAAGCCATGCAACCCGTTGAGCTCATTGTTAACATGTACTTCTCGAATTCCTTAGAAAAGTGATGTTTTAGGGTAGTTTACAAAGCAAAATGTAGAATCACGAAAACACAAGGATAAAAACATTAGTTTTCCTCATCAAACTGTTTGAGAACTATTTCCATACCAAGACAATCTATTAAGAAAAACACTTGAATATCCATGTGCCATAGAATTGAAGCGTAAATACAACGCAGAACAGAAGAAGCTAGGAAACATAGAAATCAGGTTTCAATCTCGGCAAGTCAACAGCAACGTCGAAAACGTAGAAAGATCTCAGAAGTTGAAACTAACGAATATGCAGAACAGTAAGCAAGCTAAGAGACCTAGAAAACCAGATTCCAATCTCGGCACTCAACGAAAACATTGAAAAACACAAACAAATCTCAAAAATTGAACCTAACCAAAAAGCCCTAAATCCTCATTACAAAAAGCCCCATCCAATCAAATTGAAATCAACATCTCAAGCCCAAAAAAACGATCTGTACCGACAAGATCAAATTTATCAATTCTCACCTTGTCCCATGACTCAATCCGGCGAAATTATTTCGGGGTTTTTGGTATAATAGGTTTTTCTTTCGAATCTTTGCCCCTTATTGAGGCGTCAACATCAAATTCTCACAAGTGGCGGAGAATTCAAGAAATCGGGGAGAGAAAACGAAAGAGATCTATGTGGGCTACATTAGATGTTACGCCATCGTATATGTAAACAGGAGAGAGAAGGAAAGGGAGAGAAATTGATGATTTTTATTCATCTGGGCTTTTTTTTTGTTCTTGTTAACTTTGCAATCTTTCCAGTTTTGGTTTGTATATTGTATAATTTACTGGCTCAATTTCTATCATATTCATATTTTCTAATTTGTTTGCAGGTCTTTGTAATGACTTCTAATACCATATAGCTTTCCTTACCTTTAATATCCAGATTAATATTTAATAGGTTTTTCATGTTTTTACTTTTTAATCCCAGTTATTTTCTCTTTCGCTAATTATTGAGATCTGAGACAGAAAATAATCCAAATTCAGAGTATGCAAATATGCATGAATCCAATGGTAATGATTCTATTCAATAAAAAGGGAATAGGCTTCAGATATCCAGAAAAAAAAAATTAAAAAAAAAATATAGGTTTAACTTCAATCTTATGCAATAAAATGTACGGTTAATTTCTCTAAAATCCCTAACTCACATTTGAGTTTCTTTGTCCGTCTTCCCTCTACACTCCTTAATACATATTTCCCTTTTCTATTCACTCCCCATATAAATACTAATATTATCTATATCTATATCTATATATATCTAAAAAGGTTGATGTAAAAATCCTTTTTTAGAAACCTAAAAATAATTGAGTTGACTTTTAACTTTCTATTTATGTATTCTACTTTAAAATCGGAAGAAAAATCGTGAAAAAGGCAGTGGATATTTCGTTAATTTAGCATGAAATTTGCGTTAATTAAGCAAATGGATATTCTCCTTAATAATTGTGATATTTCCGTTAATTAAGCATGTGAAATTGATTGTCCGTTGCAAAAATCATGGGAAACCTAAAAATAATTGAGTTGACTTTTGACTTTCTATTTATGTATTCTACTTTAAAATCGGAAGAAAAATCGTGAAAAAGGCAGTGGATATTTCGTTAATTTAGCATGAAATTTGCGTTAATTAAGCAAATGGATATTCTCCTTAATAATTGTGATATTTCCGTTAATTAAGCATGTGAAATTGATTGTCCGTTGCAAAAATCATGGGACTTACTATCTATCCAAATACAATCCATAACTATCTTATCACTTTTGGTTAATAAAAAATATGTGAAATTGATTGTCCGTTGCAAAAATCATGGGACTTACTATCTATCCAAATACAATCCATAATTATCTTATCACTTTTGGTTAATAAAAATTTGTATAAAATGATATTACTACCACCATTACAACTCATCATTCACGAGTTCAGAGAAAAAAAAAATACGGAGAATAATTTTTCATTGCATATACAATGCTTCCAGGCTGGGGTACACTTGATTCCGTTAACAAAAGAAACAAACTTTTTTTTTGCGTCTGAGAGCACCCCGCATTATTGAAATCCATCACAAACGGGAGAGCTGTAACGCATTCCATATACTGTTTCATGATGAACAGGTAATATTTACCTTTGTTATTTCAATTTTATATAATTTAAAAAATTATTTTAATTAATATTTATAAATTTGTATCGTAGGGTGCTTTAATACGTTATCCGAATATGAGAGCAACAAACTTTATATAAACTGAGAGCAGTCTAATACACGAAATTTTAAAAAAGTCATACTTCAATTCAAAAATTTGTTTATTAGAGATATTATTGGGATTGTGGATAAGTCATAATTGGATCCATGATTATCATTACATGATTAATTCAAAAAATAATTAATTAGAGATATTATAGGAATATGTGGATAAGTCACAATTGGATACATGATTATTATTAGAGATATTATTGGGATTGTGAATAAGTCACAATTGGATCCATAATTATCATTACATGATTAATTCAAAAATTAATTGATTAGAGATATTATAGGGATATGTGGATAAGTCACAATTGAATCCATAATTATTATTACATAATTATGCGAATCTTTAGTTCAAAAACGGTTGTTTGGTATAAAATCATATGCACTACCACTACTCAACAATTCACGTCATTCACAGTTTAGAAAAAAAAAAAAAAAAAAAAACCGAGATAAATTTTACAGAGAAAAAAAAAGATAAATTTCAGAACACATTGATAATAAATGCCGCTAGTCTGGGATACACTCGATTCCGTGAGTAGGAGAAACAAGCCTTTTTTCACTTGAAAGCAGTCCTAATAGTTGAAACGCATCACCAACGGGAGAGTTGGAACGCATTCCATATACTGTTTCATGATGAACAGGTAAATATTTATATTTGTAATATCAAATTTATGTAATTTTAAAAAATATTTTAATTCATATTTATAAATTTATACTGTAGGGTACATTCATTAAAGGGATAATACGTTCCAAACATATGGGAGCATTTCGAGGTGTAGTGAACGAAGGCGAGGTGTATGCGATCAGCAACTATGTCGTTGAATTTAATAATGGGAAGAAGGATATCATAACCAACATATGGAAACTTGTGCTTCATGGAAGAACTCATGTTATCAAATATGGTGGGATTTTCCCTCAAAATGTTGATATATTCCCTCAACATTAGCAAGGAGCAGGAGATATTTATGATATTTAGAGTTTGATTATTATGAATTTTAATTTCATTCCATGTCGTTGAATTCCGAATTCTATAATAAATTTTAGTGTTATTATATTTGTTATCGTGATAAAATGTCGTTGGATATTTTTTTTTTATTAAATGTCGCATGAATGTGAAAATTTGAACATTTTATTTTTAAGTTCTACTGTATATTAGTTTAAAATTAGTAGAATTCCATGATACAAGATATAAATTAATACAAATTTAACAAATATTTCAAATATAAGATTATATAAAAAAAATTTACGGAATTAACAATAACTGAATTAAGTACATTTAATAGATTATATTGCGTGATTTTTCAATAATTTATCATAATGAATTATATTCATAAATATGAATATGAATTTTGATTATAATATTTATATTAATTTGTGTTATATATAAATTATTATTATTAAAATTTTTACGTAAAAAGATGGAAAGATTTGTTTGACGTAAAATTTTGACGTAAAATATTATAATATTTGTTTGACGTAAAAAAATTTTCAACAATTTTTTTTTGTATCACATTGGTATGGACAGAAATTTAATTGAAAGATGTTCATTATGTAACGATGCTATCACACAAAAATCTCCACTTCTTAACTATTTTGCACTTATCTTATCACCATACATGATAAGGTTGAAAATTACAATTTGATTTCAAAATTGTTTTAGGTTTTTATTGACCGAGTATCACTCTTTGAATTCCATTTGAATTCAAAATTGGTGTATTTTTTATTTGAACAAAAAAATTTACAGAATTAACAATAACTAAATCAAGTACATTTAATGGATTATATTGCGTGATTTTCAATAATTTATCATAATGAATTATATTCATAAATATGAATTTGATTATAATATTTATTTTAATTTGTGTTATATATAAATTATTATAATTAAAATCTTGACGTAAAAAGATGGAAAGATTTGTTTGAATTAAAATTTTGACGTACAAAATTTTTGACGTAATTATATTATTTGTTTGATGTAAAAAAATTTTCAAGATTTTTTTTTATTACGTTGGTATGGACCGAAATTTAATGGAAAGATTGATGGTGATGGTAATTATGTAATGATGCTATCACACAAAAATCTCCACTTCTTAACTACTTTCCACTTATCTTATCATCATAAAAGTTTCGGTCCATACCAACGTGATAATCATTTGTGTTTGGATTGACTGAAATATATTCCATTTGAATTCAATGTCATTCATTTAAAAAACATAACAAATGCAGAGTACTACGGTGGATAAATCTAGAGTTAACAATCTGATAAATCACGTTTTAATTACTAATCTTATCATGATATTAGAGTTTGAATTTATTGGAACTCTGAAATTAAAATCACGTGCAATGAATCTTATCAAGAGAGATTAACGTGAGTCTAACTAATCTTATCATCTAATAGTTATCTACTTTCATCCCATGGCTATAAAATAAACGTCGAAGCCTATATCACGTATCACAAAAATCTCACACTACAATTTCACATACAAACAGAAAAATGGCGAGAGCATGGGGAAACATCAAGCAAGTAACAAGGATCAACAGGCCAATGCTCAAGTTGAGGGTGGTTCGAGTTTTCCAAAGGACTAATCAATACTCATCATAGAAGAACATCCTTGAAATTGTCTTTCATGACATTGAGGTTTAATTCATAATAAAAAATAATGATTATCCATTTTTCTCATCATGGTAATTATAATATCTAATATTATTTTTCTTTTTTTTTTTCCAGGGAAGTCGAATTACTGGAATAGTAAAGCAATCAACATCCCAACTTTCATCAATAAATTCGAAGAAGGTGCTGTCTATCCATTTCGAAACTATCAAGTCGAGAGTAATATCGGAATGTATAGATCCACCATTGATAATTCGTGCTTCTCTAATAATATGGGATGAAGCACCAATAATACACAAGCATTGTTTCGAAGCTGTACAGACATCGTTGCAGGGTATTATGGGAGCAATTGATCCTTTGAACTTGAACAAACCGTTTGGTGGGAAGCCGATTGTTTTGGTGGATATTTTCGACAAATCCTTCCGGTCATTCTAAAGGGTAGCCGTCAGGACATAGCCAATGCTGCCACTAATTCTTCTGATATATGGAGGAGTTGTACTGTGCTTAGGCTTACGAAAAAATGTGCCTTCAGGGACTTGCTAATTCGGATGAATGTGATGAGCTTGCACGGTTTGCAGATTGGATAGCCAACATCGGAGATGGAACTATCAGAGGATTGAATGATGGATGTGCACCTATAGACATACCCGAGGACATTTTGCTTCAGCCATCTGATGATCCTATTGCTCAGATAGTTGAAAGCACATGTCCATTGTATAAAGAGGCATCCGACGATCCAAGTTATTTGAAGGATAGGGCTATATTAGCGCCTACGTTGGATGTGGTCGAATCTATCAATCAGTACATGACATCATTGAATTTGTTGGATGGTCGTATGTACTTGAGCTCTGACAGTACGTGCAAATCGGATTCTAATAATGATTTTTTGTCTGATCTCCATACGCCTGAGTTTTTGAATAGTATCAAGTGTTCCGGAATACCGAACCATGAGTTGTATTTGAAGATTGGAACTCCAGTCATGTTGTTGCGGAACATGGATCATTCTATGGGTTTGTGTAATGGGACACGATTGGTAGTGACAAAGCTATCGACTCACGTTCTTGAGTGTAAGATACTCACAGGAGATCATGCTGGTGATAAGGTGTTGATTCCAAGAATGGCCATAACTCCTTCTGATGTTAGAATTCCTTTCAAGTTCCAGCGGCGACAGTTTCCCATTATGGTTTCTTACGCCATGACTATAAACAAGAGCCAGAGACAATCCTTATCTCATGTTGGCTTATTTCTTAAGAAACCAGTGTTCAGTCATGGCCAGTTATATGTTGCTGTTTCTCGTGTCACTAAACGAAAAGGTTTGAAAATCTTAATTTGTGGCGAAGATGACGTGCCAAAGAATCAAACCAATAATGTTGTATATAGGGAAGTGTTCAATAATATATGATTTTTTCAATTTAATGATATGTTTATATGTCTAATATTATGATCATGATCATTGCCTGCATAATACAATTTATATACAAAATTGTTTTTTAAACATTCTAGATAATAATATCCCCGTGCATCGCACGGGTGACTACTAGTATATCTAAAAAGGTTGATGTAAAAATCCTTTTTTAGAAACCTAAAAATAATTGAGTTGACTTTTGACTTTCTATTTATGTATTCTACTTTAAAATCGGAAGAAAAATCGTGAAAAAGGCAGTGGATATTTCGCTAATTTAGCATGAAATTTGCGTTAATTAAGCAAATGGATATTCTCCTTAATAATAGTGATATTTCTGTTAATTAAGCATGTGAAATTGATTGTCCGTTGCAAAAATCATGGGACTTACTATCTATCCAAATACAATCCATAACTATCTTATCACTTTTGGTTAATAAAAAATATGTGAAAATGATTGTCCGTTGCAAAATCATGGGACTTACTATCTATCCAAATACAATCCATAATTATCTTATCACTTTTGGTTAATAAAAATTTGTATAAAATGATATTACTACCACCATTACAACTCATCATTCACGAGTTCAGAGAAAAAAAAAATAAAGAGAATAATTTTTCATTGCATATACAATGCTTCCAGGCTGGGGTACACTTGATTCCGTTAACAAAAGAAACAAACTTTTTTTTGCGTCTAAGAGCACCCCGCATTATTGAAATCCATCACGAACGGGAGAGCTGTAACGCATTCCATATACTGTTTCATGATGAACATGTAATATTTACCTTTGTTATTTCAATTTTATATAATTTAGAAAATTATTTTAATTAATATTTATAAATTTGTATCGTAGGGTGCTTTCATTAAATGCATAATACGTTATCCGAATATGAGAGCAACAAACTTTATATAAACTGAGAGCAGTCTAATTTTTGTAAAATAAGTAAACTTTAAACGTGTTTTTATATATAAAATTGTATATACTTTTAAATTAAGCAAATGGATATTCTCCTTAATAATAGTGATATTTCCGTTAATTAAGCATGTGAAATTGATTGTCCGTTGCAAAAATCATGGGACTTGCTATCTATCCAAATACAATCCATAACTATTTTATCACTTTTGGTTAATAAAAAATATGTGAAATTGATTGTCCGTTGCAAAAATCATGGAACTTACTATCTATCCAAATACAATCCATAATTATCTTATCACTTTTGGTTAATAAAAAATTGTATAAAAGGATATTCATTACCACCATTAGAACTCATCATTCACGAGTTCAGAGAAAAAAAAATACAGAGAATAATTTTTCATCGCATATACAATATAATGCTTCCAGGCTGGGGTACATTTGATTCCGTTAACAAAAGAAACAAACTTTTTTTTGCGTCTGAGAGCACCCCGCATTATTGAAATCCATCACGAACGGGAGAGCTGTAACGCATTCCATATACTGTTTCATGATGAACAGGTAATATTTACCTTTCTTATTTCAATTTTATATAATATAGAAAATTATTTTAATTAATATTTATAAATTTGTATCGTAGTGTGCTTTCATTAAATGCATAATACGTTATCCGAATATGAGAGCAACAAACTTTATATAAACTGAGAGCAGTCTAATTTTTGTAAAATATGTAAACTTTAAACGTGTTTTTATATATAAAATTGTATATACTTTTAAACATGTTAGTTGGGCAAACTTTAAGGATATATATATGTGTGTGTATGCTAACTTTAAGTATATATATTTTTTTCTTATAAAATAGTCTAGACAGAATTGAGGTAATTTTACATTTTTCGATAATAATATAAAATATTTTAATACTTTCACATATGTTATATAATAGTCTATGTATTCTTAATGTCTTTTGGTTGTAACATTGTTAACACATATAATATTAGATACTTTTAAACAGATTTAGATAATTTTTTTACTCATTCTTTAATATCTATGTGCATAAAAAGAGAATAAGATTTATAAAAGATTTTCCGGCAATATACTAAATGTTAGATAAAAAATCTCATTTTATTTGTTATATAATATTTCGAGTTGCATTAATTTTGATTTGGATGTGTAAACTTGATAAATTAAGCGTATGAAAAGGAGCGTACGAATTACTGTAAGGATTTAAAAAATAAAAAATAAATCTAATTTTTTAATATTTTCTACTAACTTCTAAACGAATTTATGTCATAATTCGTCATAATTTTCCCACATCTTGTCAATATTAATTTTATATATATTAGGTAAAAGGTAAATCATTATCTCAATATTTATTCTATATATTCTAAGTAAATCTTCTCATCTATCTCAATGGTCCGCAGGTAGTACTTCATACTTTTCTATTCATAATCAAATATATCAAAGCTTCACAAATTTTACTTCACAAAGAAAGTGTTCAATAATTTATATTTTTTCCCTTCTTTGCAATTCATTTATTTTTGTTACATATATATAAATTATATTATTTTTAATATTTCACACGTTAAACATTTCAAGAAAATATACCATCCCGTGCATCGCACGGGCTACGCGCTAGTTATTATTTATTTATTTTGCTTGAAAATCATTAAAAATGGGAAAAATTGGAAAGCTCTCCCTCATTTCTCTCCCCCTCATTTCTCTGTCTAAAACCCCTACAATCCTACCAAAAACCTTTGCAAATTCGCAGTTTCCAATCACCACCGCAGTAATGAACACCACCGGCGGCTTCCCCTTCAGCTCCCCCTCCTCAGCTACATCTGGATCTCGTAATTTTCGCAGGAAGGTATGGCGTGAGTGGGTTCATTCTCTGTAATTAATTTAGATCTGTGTGGCATTTTCTCGATTAGGTCGTGAATGGGTATGAGTTTTGGAGACTATAAGTTAGATGGGTTCGAAAGTTCGCATTTTATTTCATTTTCGTTGATTGATTTTTGCTGGTGAGGAAAAAAGGGATTTTTGTTTTTTTTCTAATGAAAATGGAAATTTCAGGTGGGGTGAGTCCAAGATTCAGTTCCAGTGCATTGAACATAGAGAAAGATGGAGAAAATTTGATGCCGAGTCTCGAGATGAAGGCCGGCATGCCCGACCACCATTTCCACCCAATGGGTGCCCTGGAGATCCTTATAGAGACTTTAAGGATCCTCAGGTACAATTCGGCTGGGTTCATGGCGATTGTTGCCCTTCTAATCTGCTCGTCTCGGCCGTGGTCTTGTCCAATGTTTTAGTCGACCAATCCCCCGTAAAACGGCTTACCTTCAGGCTAATGCTGGTTGCGAAATCTAGCGGGCTCCCTCTGAGGCCCTTTGTGAAGCATTCATGTTACAAACTATCGGAGGTCGTTGTCTCGGCCACAATGTGCTTTCCCTTGTTCGTCACGTTATCTCTTCTGTCAAAAGCTGTCGTGATTTACTCTGTCGACTGCACTTACTCGAGGAAAAAGTTCGACTACTCCAAATTCTACGTGATCATCTTCAAGATATGGAGCATAGTCTTCACCTACATGTGGGTATGCGTCGTGATCTCAGGCTGTCTCACACTGTTCCTTGTCTTTCTTGTCGTGGTCAACAGCGTGTTCTTGACCATGGGCTTCCCGCCCGATTTGAGTCTTTACCCCGTCATGGTGGTCGGGTTCATATTCTCGATCGTGATTGTGAATGCCATCATAATGTGCAACATTGGTGTTGTGATCTCGGTTCTGGAGGACGTGTTGGGCCCGCATTTGCTGAGGTCTATCTCGTTGATATTTCTGGGGTTGGCTATGGGGTTGGCAATTGTGGAGGGCCTTTTTGAGCACAGGGTGAAGACATTGAGCTATGGAGACGGGTCGTCGAGGATTTGGGAGGGCCTCTGCTGGTCGTAATGTACTCGTTTGTGGTGCTGGTGGACTCGATGATGAGCACAGTTTTTTACTTCAGCTGCAAGTCTTACCGCATGGAGAATGCAAATGCGGAGAGCGAGCCGGTTCTGGAAGCCCTTAATATTGCGCCTTCATAATGGGAGGATACGAATGAACTGCTTTTGTGAATGCGGATGTAGATAGTTGCATGAATGAGAAAGACATGAGTTTCGGCTTTGGATTTAATGAAGTTTGTGCCGATGAAGGGTTCTCAAAAATTGGTTATTTGAAGGTTGTTATGGTGATATCAGTCATATGCATGTAGCTGAAGAAGGATTAACGTTTCAGACATCCGGAGAGGTTAGATTAGTCACTGGTGTACTATCTTGCAAAAGGTTTTATAAAGTTGCATATTCAAGTATAGTTGTTCCTTTCCTTTTTTATTTTTCAGTTAATATGGTTGTACTTCAATTCTTTGTTGAGATAGTTACTCTGTTACTACATTTGACCCAGTGGGTTATAAAATGTTGTTGGTTTTATCTGGCATTTTGAAGGAATTCACATCAATAGCTGGTTGATTTTCTTGAATATTCATTTTTCATTTTTGTTTTCTTGTGTTTCAAGCTAGTCTTTGATTATTCCAAGTTCATTATTGTAATGGCATTGAAGTGTTCATTTCACATTAGTGCGGAGCTTGTGCTTATGGGCAAAACGATTGTACAAATTATAGGAAGAAATTATTATATCTTGACTTTAATGGATTATTCAATTGTGGTCAACATTTGCAATAAATTGGTACCATACCTAGTGTAATATATTATCAGTTTTCTGTATTTTAGTACCAGATATTGAGTCTTTAATACCAACTCTGACGAACATAATAAAACATCGAATTTCGATATCAAATAATGTTTACATGACAAATAATTACTCTCACACTAGTTTGTATGAGATTTATAACGTTTTTAATTGAGTTTAATCACAAAATCGGTCACGAACTCAACACATTAATGAAAAAACACTTCATCTCATTAAAATGGTACCAGTTTTGGGAATAATAGTACCGCTTCTTCTTCTATGAAGTACCTATTTTTGATCAATTAGTACCAGCTTTTGGTCAAAGAAAATAGATTATTCAATTGTGGTCAACATTTGCAATAATTGGTACCAGACCTAGAGTAGTATAGTACCACTTTTCGGTGTTTTAGTACCAGATATTGAGTCTTTACTACCACTTTTAACGAGCACATAAAAACACCGAATTTCGGTCTCAAATGATGTTTATATGACCAATAATCACTCTCACATTAGTTTGTATGAGATTTAAAATGTTTTAGATTGGGTTTAATTGCAAATTGGTCATGAACTCGACACACTATGAGAAAACACTCTAATACGCTTTATTTCATTGAATGACACACTTCAACTCATAGAATCATCATACATGACTGCTCCAAATTCTACCTATATGTTGTAACTTCCACTATTTTTCATCCAAATCATGCGTGAACGATCCACGTGTCATGGTAGACATGAAGGATTAGAGAAATCACGATTCTTAAAATAGTACATGTTTTAGCCAATATAGTACCACATCTTTTTATACGTGGTACCTGTTCTTCATCAATTATACGTGGTACCGGATATTAGGTCTTCAGTGCCACTTATAATGAACACACAAGAACACCGATTTTCTGTCTCAAATGATGTTTACATGACAAATAATCACTCTCACACTAGTTTGTATGAGATTTATAATGTTTTTAATTAAGTCTAATTTCAAATTGGTCATGAACTCGATACACTAATGAAAAAACGCTACCAACACTTCATCTCATTAAAATGGTATCGGTTTTGGGAAGAATAGTACTGCTGTTGATACATAAAATTTGTGGCCAATCAAATGGCGCCACGTGGAAATTAATTTATTAAAAATCAAGTCATATTTTCTATTTATATTTTAGGAATTTCCATAAATTTAATTTCTAAAATTAAATAGTTAATTAATTGATATTTTAATATTTTAATTCTTGACCAATCAAATATTGGCAAGTGTCAAATCTTTATTCTTGGTAATAAATCATATGTCTTCTAGAAGATCTTGAGAGATCTAGGTAGATCTAAGAGATCTTATGTGAATCATCATGGATCAATCAAATCGCGTCCTACGATTCTTAAATTTGGTAGGGTTCTCCCTCCTACACCTATAAATAGGGGCTCTCCCTAAAGCCAAAAACACACCTCATAATTCATATTCAAATTCAAGAGCTCTAGGGAATTCTCTCGACAAGATTCAAGTATTCTTGAAGATTCAAAGGCGTTCTTGAAAATTCGAAGCAAGATTCAAGCGCGTTCAACCTCAAGACTGGCGTTCAATTCGGAAACAAGCTGCAAAACCTCTGAATAACGTTAGTAAATTCAGAACCGGCATGGAGAAGATTCAAGATCTACTTTGCGACAAATACCAAGGATTCGTGTTCTTCGCGTTCTTGGGATATTTCGACGTTTGATCCGAAATCAAGGCGTTGGCCCTCGGATTAACGTTAATTCAAGTCAAATCAAGTCAAGGAGAAGATCAAGCCGAAGATTCGCTCCAAGACTTAAAATTGTTCGTGAGAAGAATCAGAGAAATAATAGAGATTGTAACCCGCTATATTTATTTTGATTCGAGAAATTTCTTTGAATAATATTTTTTGCGTTTATAAATTCAATACACGAAATTTGTTGTTACAAATTTTTGGCACGCCCGGTGGGACATCTCTACCTCTCATCACTTCTTCAAAATTCCTCAAATCATCATGACTAGCCGCAAGGTGGCCGTAGTCAAGATTCCTTCAACAAGTTCTTCAAGCTCCAACCTCGGCGTCGTTACATGAAGCATGGCCAAGCAACTGCAAGCATCTTCGGAGACGGCTCCTTTGCACGAGGTGATTGGAAGTGATTAGCTGCATCTTACCCATGAACGTGACGAAGACGACTCCGCCTCCTCAACTCCTCGTTCATCATCAAGCTCTTCATCAAATTCAAGCATCGCTCCGGTTATGACAACCAATGCTTCAACTCTTGAAGAGCACATCGCAAGCTTGACGAAGGTTATTGAAGGGCTTGGAAAGAAGGTCCAAGAGCAAGACTCTCAAATCTTAAAGCTAATGGACAAGGTTGACAATGTTGAAACGAGCCGCATGAAGGACAAACAAGATGAAGATCGTGATGAGTCTGAAACATCCAAACAGCAGCAATTTCACGAAAGAGATAAGACTCCAACATTTCAACATTCGTCCGAGGGAATGATCCCCATTGATCAACTGAAGGATTTCATCATGGTGGACAATTAAAGATAAGCTTGATGGTGGTTCCAAGTCAACTCACGCCTACGCCAAGCCATATATGCCAAGGATCGATAACTTGAGAATGCCTGTTGGATATCAACCTCCCAAGTTCCAACAGTTTGATGGCAAGGGCAACCCGAAGCAACATATAGCCCACTTTATTGAGACATGCAACGATGCGGGAACCCATGGTGATTATCTCGTGAAGCAGTTTGTTCGTTCACTCAAAGGGGTCGCATTCGACTGGTACACTGATTTGGAAGCAAACTCCATTGATAGTTGAGAGCAAATAGAACATGAATTTTTTAGTCGCTTCTATAGAAAAAGACGAACAGTCAGCATGATCGAGCTCACTACATCTCGACAGTGGAAGGAGGAGCCAGTCATCAACTATATCAATAGATGGAGGAACCTAAGCCTGAATTGCAAGGATCGTCTGTCCGAAGCTTCTGCCATTGAGATGTGCATTCAAGGTATGAGTTGGGGTCTTCGTTATATCCTTCAAGGTATTCGACCAAGAACATTCGAAGAGCTAGCGACTCGAGTCCACGACATGGAATTAAGTATGGCTGCAAGCGGAGCTAATGGGCCACCGATTCAAGAACCCTAAAGCTCCAAGGATAGATACGAGCAAAGAAAAGGGGGCAAGTTCTCCTCGAAATCTCAAAACAAGGAGTCCATGACGATCAATGCTATGCCTGTCAAGTTCAAAGGAAAAGCTGCTGATAAAGCCGTTGAAAAAAAGGATGTCCCCAAGGAGACTGAACAAAGAAGATTGACTCTGAAAGAAATGCAGGCAAAGCAGTACCTGTTCCTTGATTCAGACGTCTCTGGCATATTTGACGATTTGATCGAAGCAAAACTCATTGAGTTGCCTGAGATGAAGCGTCCTGAAGAAGCTGCAGGGTGAACGACCCAAAATATTGCAAATACTACCGTCTTGTAGGGCATCCAATTCTTGACTGCTTCGTATTCAAGGACAAAGTTATGCAGCTGACACGCTAAGGAAAAATCTCATTGGAAGAAAGTAGCGCAACTGCTAATCATATAACCAAAGCATGCAACATGACAAATGAGCATGAAGCTCCGCTAGAAGAAAATAATTTGCCTGAGGTTGAAAATCACCATGTTAGTCGTGATTCCATGATTGTCTTTACTGATGAAGATCTGCTGCTTGGTTCTAAGCCTCACAATAGACCCTTGTTTGTGGCTGGTTATGTGCAAGAGCAAAAGGTTAACTGAATATTGATTGATGGAGGATCAGCAGTCAACATTTTGCCTCTCCGTACGTTGAAAGAGTTAGGAATGACTACCGAAAAACTTGGTAATAGTCAATTGATGATGCAAGGCTTTAACCAAGGGGGGCAAAGAGCTCTTGACATCATAAGGTTGAGGTTATTGATGGAAGATATGGAGTCAACTACAATGTTTCATGTAATCGACGCCAAAACTTCTTACAACATGCTTCTTGGTCGTCCATGACTTCATGAGAATGGTGTGGTTCCGTTAACATGGCATCAATGCTTCAAGTATTGCAAAAATGGCGTTGTGAAGACCGTGCTTGGTGATGATAAACCTTTTACGGAGGCTGAAACTCACTTCGCCGATGCCAAATACTATTTCAAAGATGCAAAATCAGTTGCGAAAGTTCCCGTCTAAGCAGCAAAAAGGATCCGAAGGTGAAGAACCAAAGATTGAAAAGGTAGACAACTCTTCGAAAGAGTTAGTGCTACCACTGCCGAAGATAAATGATGAGAAACCTATTTCCCGACCACCCATGAAGTTTGTTCGTCCAAGAAAAGGAGCGGTGACGGAGCATGGCGAAGGACTGAAGAATTCGAAGTGTTTTGACCCAAAAGCCTACAAACTTCTCGTCAAAGCAAGATACAACCCCAATGAAAGTCACTCTTTGGGAAACCTCATACCTCAAGAGCAAAAGCACAACTGAGCAGGTCTTGGATATATGACACCGAATCCAATTAGAATCACTATCAAGAGAGCAAATGCCAACCATGTCTCCAAAGGAGAGTTCTCATGCACTGACGGCGAAAAGAAAGGGAAAAGAGTGTCGGTGTTTTAAAAGACTCGGTCCGGTCCGAAAGTCAAAAGGCAAACAATCCGTGTTTCAATGACTTGGATCCTTCCAACCATTGAAGCCTTTAGGACAAGAAAGAGGCGCAGGCCCAGATCCAAAGCTTAGAAGTTGAATTTCGTCACGTATGAAACGTCAAACCACGTTGATCATATCACGCGGGGAGGTTTTAAAAGCAAAAATGCACACGATCGTTCATACAAGAGTGCAGAATGATGAAGATGATGATTAAGAAAGTGTCGCTTCGTCTTACTATGCTTACGGTACTCTTACAACTCCTCGAGATGATGAAAGTTCTCTTTAC